ATTTTCCCACTCATTCCCCGTCTGCTAGGTGCTGCAGCCAGGGCACCACACTCTCCGCCAACTCTAAGCCCCAACACGTAGACTGGAGAGAGTCCAGTGGGTTCTGGGAGCATTCTAAAGGGCATGGTTAGGTATTTTTAAAGGGGACAGATGCAAGCCTTCTTCCAAATTTCAGAGAATCTGAATCTGTAATGGATCCCAGGAGCAAGAACAGACCCCAGGATGAGGGGCAGGGAGGACAGGATGCAGGGACGTTGGATACAGGGGATCCTGGGATACAGGCATATGACAGGAGCTAAGGAGCCAGACAGATGTCTAAGCTGATTTTTTGAGGTTCAAGACGGATCCAACCGGTTGCCTATTGTAGAAGGACATTCCGCACCTTTGCTGTTGTGGGAGACATAGTAGAATCTCCTCTGAAGGCACCAGGAGCAATTGATATGGAGATGAATGAGCAGGAAACATCCTGGTTCAAAGGTTTAGCCAAAGAACCTGCTAGAGGAACAAGCTGTGTTTGGGGGAACTGTACCTTGCTGTTGAGATGTAAATGGATCAAGCCCCTCCTCCCTGGATGCCTACATGACAATCTTTTTTTTTAAAGTCTGGTGCTGTTAATAAATTTCGGCTGTTGACATCAGTCAGTAGTCCACGATTGTTATTATTGTCTCTGTGGATCAAGTCCATTGCTGAAGGACAGTGACAACCTGTGGCCTCTTTTCTTGGGGGATTTATATGTGCACTTGGCCTGTGGTTCACCCCATTTCCAAAGGCTTTCCAGACACAGTAGCGAACACCCTTGGTACAGTCTCTTGCCTAGTTTTCACACACTGACCTTATGACATGGATGTTATCTCCATTTCACAAATGAAGACACTATGATTCCGAGATGGACCACCCTGTGGTCCAAAGTCACCAAGTAGGAGGAGCAGGGTTGGAGGGTGTCTCCAAGGGCTGGCTGACTTCTGCCCTCCACCCCCACCAACCTAACCAAGGTCACAATGAGGGGACATAACACTTTCAACCTGCCCAAGTGACACTTACTTGGGCAAGGTAAGCAAACTGTTGACCTTGCAAACAAGGGTGGTTCAGAGCAGTGTTGTATTTGGCTGGTCCATGTTTTTAAAAAACACAGACAACTGCCCTTTAGTGCCTCTGGGAAGGGAACATTTTGTTTTTGGTCATTATATCTCTCACTTATTCTCTCATTTATTCCTTCCCTAGTCATGGAAGGCATTTGGGTTTTATTTATTTTTGCAACATATATATTTTTCACATTTTACATTATATTCTTATTATCATTTTATGTTACAATTCCATAGGCTCCTGAGATTTCCCTTATCCCCTCCCCAACCCCCATCCCAACTAGCTTCCCTATATCATTACTAAAGTATAGTTCTTCATACACAATCATATGTCCATCATTGCGGTCATGGACAATGGCAGAGAGTCCAGCATCCTATTGTCAAGATAGAGTAAACAGTTTCATTGTAAGTCCATCTTTGTGTGGAAGTAGAAACGCATACTACATTGTGTCCTCATATCTGGATATGTTAGTCTCCATTTCAAAGCTACTGTACATCCCCTTAAATGAAAAGTCACAGTACAAAATCAACAATAGGAAGAAAAATAGAAATTTACAATGCCATGAAGCTAAATAACATGTTACTAGATATGACAGTCTCCATTACACAGCTACTATACGTCCCCTTCAATGAAAAGCCACAAAACAAAATCAACATCAGAGAGAAAAAAGAAATTAACAACACCATGAAGTTAAACAACATGCTACTAAATGACTAACGTGTAGCCGAAGAAATGAAAATGAAGACCCTTCTTGAAGAAAATGATGTTACTGTATGATCTATGAGTCATTGAAGAATTTAATCAGAAGAGACTACTTTGAAGAGGTGAAACTAACAAAAACAAAAAAGCCAAAATCTATGAGATACAGTTTCTGTTTTTTAGTCCAGTCTACTAATCTATGATGTTTGATTGGGCTTAAGCCATTTAACTCTGAGGTTGGTGTAGGGTTTTGCTCCTTTGTAGGGGAGTTTTCATTAATATTCATTGTGCCTTTGTCTCTTCTTTTGCTCTTGGTCATTGCACCTCTGGTTAGCAGATTCTTCTCTTTGGGGCAGGTTTCTAAGCTCTGTCACCCACAGGTCTACAATGCAATCATACTTATTGCAGTTGGTACACAGCTCTTTGTTTCCAGCTAATTGTGCCACAACCTCCAGCAAGTTCCAGGTCTGGATTCTTATGTCAGATTTCCTCCGTGGTCTCCACAGCCCCAGCTCTTGGCTCACCAGTCTCTACCTCCTGTGATATGGTGCTGAGGTTGCACTGTTGTCTCTGCAACCTTTCTCCCACTTTTGATTGGAGTAGGTCCCAGGATTAGAGAGATACCAGGTGTCCTACATAATTAGGTTGTTGGTGGCACTGATCTTGTTGGAACCTGTTTGGCGTTAGTTCTGGTGCCACACAGACCTATTTTGACCCATATGATGACACAGTTGATATTATTTTCCTGCGGGACCAGTGCAATCCATGGAACTCAGTGAGTTCTCATGAGCTTAGCACATGCGCAGTTCACTGCTGTCCCCCTGCAGTCCTAAACCTTTTGCCATAGTGTACAAAATGGTGCCTGATGTGCTACCACTACTAGAGTTCTTGATCTTCTAGCCATCAGGTCTTTGGGCTACCCAGACCTGTCTTGAGTGGAACCTGTAGAATGCCACGTTGCTGCAGTTCACTGAGTCAGGAAAGAGTTCACTGCCAGCTCAGTCCTTTCCCTTGCCTTTGCTTCCTTGTGCAAAATGGCACCCAATTCAACTCTAGAGGGCTGACTGGGCTGTGAAATCCACCCTGTTCTCGCACTGCCCGTCTGGGATCTGCCACCTTGTCTCTGCTCCAGAGGAGCAATTTCAATGACAGTTTTAGAGGTCAGAGATGGAGGAGATCAGAGAGGTTCTGAGCAGCGTCACCCTCTCTGTCACCCTAGCGAAGCAGATGTCCGTGCTGCAAGGAGTGCTCTGTGGAGGGGACCCACTGGCACTTCCTAAACACACACAACCACAATCCTACCTATCACCACAAGGAAGGAATTCTGCCAACAACTTGGGAGACAGAAAGGAGACCCCAGTGCATGGGTGAAATGCAGCTCTGGCTGCAGGCTTTATTTGCGCTTTATGAGAAACCCAAGTGAGGCTAGGCATCCAAAGCACAGAAAGTGTAAGAAAATAACTGGATGCCATTTTAAAACTGTTTAAGTATGGTACATTAGCAGCAGAAGAAAAATAGCCATTTCTGTCTGCGCTAAAAGCTGTGGCATTGATTGCAAGACATACTGTTGGTTTGACAACATTTGGGGATATGGAAACTACAGAACCAAATACATTAAGGACAAACCATACATTTTAAGATATTCTGATTTTTTAAAATACAGGAGATTTTTTTCAACATTCAAATAACTTGTTAGTTTATTACATTGGTGAAACACCTAAGGCTTTATCCAACTGCTTCCCATAGGACTATATTTGATCTTCCTAACAATTCTGCAATAATTAGGGGCTGGGGGTAAGAGGCACACACTGTGGTGACAAAGCTGAGGTGCAGAGAAGTGAAATCACTTATTCAGGCCACAACACAAGGCTAGAGCTTGGATTAGATTCTAGGTTTGTCCTTTCCATTCTTGCAGGACCAGCTTTTTTTTTTTTTTCCCAACACCAAGCACTCCCAGAAAATGACATGATATCACCCAACAGCCCTGCTAAAGGGACAGCCACAGAGGTCAGCCTTTGTTCCAATTGAGCCTGTGTGTGTTAGCTTTCAATGCTACAGCAAATCCTCTTATAGGAGCTTTTTGAAAAAGGTTAATTTCTGCTTACAGCTTTAGAAGTTCATATCCAACACTGGGCAGCCCCATTAGTGTGGGGTCTGAGCAGGGCAGAGAATGGAAGGACGTGAGCAGAGACAGAACCACACGGTGAGGAGGGAGCCAAGAGAGGCAGACCCAAGTCAGCATGTGTGCCAATGTGCCTGTGCGAACCGCCTTCTTACAGTATGCTGCCAGCATCCCCAGAGCCCTCCCTTTGGACACATCTCCCAGATGCCATAATTGGTTCAACTTGCCACCCTTACTCCATTAATATAAGTCTTTGTGGGACACCCAAGGTGCTAACCAAGCCCCAAGACATCAGATTAGTTTTAAAATGTGCACTTGATGCAAGCTAGTCAGTTGGTCTGTGATCTAAGCACCTGCTTATTACACAGGCTAAGTCAGAGGAGATGAGGCCTTTCCAAGAAGTGTGAACATCCATTCAGTGGTGAAGAAGGCAGGCTAGTGAACCAGAAGTCGATGGGTTGTGTGTGAGCAGGAGCTAATGTTGCTGAATGATCCTCATCCACACGCAAGAGGACCACAAGTTCTCCTGGGAAGGATGACCCCAGGAGCTGTTTTTGTTGTAGACTTGCCCCGACTCCAATTCCAGGCCTTTTGTATTCTTAAAATTCCCTCCCCACCTTTGTTCACTGCACTTGTATTATTCATAAAGTTGAGTGTGATTGAATGAAGCACAGTTCATACACACAGAAGCAATGGTAGAAGAACTAGTATTTACCAAACATGGTGAGTTCTTCCCTGACACCCCCTTTGCTCACAAAGCTGCACCTTTGCCTGGCCTACCAACCCCCTTCAAGAACTTCCTGCAGCTCTCCCTCCCACGCGTGCCTTACTACCTCCCTCTTGTCTCCATTCTCTTATAATTCCTCATCCCAGAAGCCCAAGTATTGCCCAACTATTGTCCAAGAGCCCTCCTCGGAGGGCCAAAGGAAATGAGAAATCTCAAACAGGCCAATTCAGCATCTTATTCAATGAGTAGAGTGGATAAAGAAACACATGACAAGTCTCCTGTTTCAAGTGCTGTTGCCTAGCTCTGCCACATGACCATGAAAAAGAAGGGGGAAAAAAAAGTCGCACAATATAATTGTTAAACCATGGTCACTATAGTTATATGCCATGATACTGGGAATTGTGTTTCATCCAGTTTTATTCTCAGTTTTCTGGGGGAGTTATCTGTCAGGTGATCTCTTAATCAAGTAATCCACACTGAAAAAGTCAGCAAAATCGGTACTAGGCTAAAGGAGTTGGTTTGGGATATGAGCCTTCGCTTTAAGGGGTTCAGCCAACACAGCCTGTAACTAGCCTAGTACAGCCTTGTGTCTATGAATGAACAGGAAGCCAAGGAGGGCTATGTGCAGACTGGGATGTGGAAGGTAAAGTGTTTGGTTGGGCTTTGTCGCTGAAGTAGGTCCAATGGTACTAGTGGTAGAGTCTGCAGGGAAGAGTGGAAGAGTCACTTTGCCTTTGCCTATCTGGGGCTCCAGAGCAGCCTCAGAAAAGAAAGTTCACAAGTCATAACGTTGGGACTGGTCCTAAACTGAAAGCTTTCCCCCAGGTAGGGCATCCCCAGAACAGTTGCAGAGGATCTGCTAAATCTTTAAGAGCGCCCTAATAAAGGGAGTCACCCTTACTAGGCTGATCTATACCAAGGATGGCCAAGAACTGGGAGAGTTTCCAAATGGCAGTTGAGTTGCCCAAGAGATTTTGCACTGCGTACTCAATGAGGCTCATAGAAACAGGTGTTCCAGGCTCTGGTTCCTATTGATGGCACTTGGTCCAGGGAGGCTTCTTTGCATGTTCATCCTTGCATTTCTTCAAGTTATCCTGGAATATTGTATTATGTTCATTTTGCTGATGAAGAAACAAGTAAAAGGAAAAGTATATGGCTCTTACGTAAAAAACAAAAAAGGATTCAAAATCCAGATCTCTCTGTGTCTGGATTTGGACCTTTCTGTGTGTTGGTGGTTGATTTCAGAGTACTCTGCCTTTAATATATTACCATTGGACAAATACCCCACTACAATAAATCTTATCTATGTTAAATTCCCAGAGATCTGCCACTCTGACTCTGTCTTATCAAAGTCGAATACCTGACCCACACTCCTGCTATCCCTTGGCCAACATGTATAAGCTACGGGCTTCGGCACCACTGACCACAGTCCTTCCAAATGAACCCTTTATTCTCTTTACCTCCACCCAATCTAAACTATGTAATGTCTTCTGCTTTTTGTTTGTGACATAATTTTTAGTTCCACCCCTTTTTCTTTCTTTCTTTCTTCCTTCCTTCCTTCCTTTTTTTTTTTTTTTTTTTTTTTTAGAGTATGCCAGCAAATCTATTTTACCTTTGGGAAAACACTAACTTGGGTTAATTGTATCCAGCTGGATTCTTGAGTTGCAGCCTGCAGGTCCAGCTCTAGCCCCTAGGCAATAAGCCCTAACATTGCTCACTGTCTTGCTACTGCCCAGCCCCTGCATCCCACATCACTCAAAAGGTACCACACAATTTTCTAGTGGTGTAGCCTTTCCTTCATGACAACCTCTGAGCTGGGGCTGGCCCATCAACAAGCTTCCTTGCCAGTGACTGGATAGCTGATTCCAGTCTGCTCTCCCAGTCTATTATTCCCCAGATCTAACTCTCTTGACTTAGTTTCAAAGGTAATGTGCGGCCCCACCAGAGGAAGTCTTTTTAGGCCCTCACTTGGCATTGGCTTTTTCCTTTAGTTTGGAAAAGTTTAATTTTTTCCCCTTGAAGTGCAACATACACACAGAAAAGGATGTAAGTCAAAAATGGGTGTGCATTTATGCATCAGTATGAGGCATACTATTTCTTTCTTTTTTTTTTATTAATAAAATTTATTTGTATATTCTTTACATACTTAGTTAGAGTAAGAAGGTTCAAGGGCTACAGGAAAGTGGATAATACTAGTATGTTTTCCATATTGTTACCTTCATGTTTAAAAGGGGGGTATTAAGGGAGAAGGCCCACCCAATTTCCCACCCTCCCCAAGTCCCGGGTATAGGGCATGCTCTGAGGTTCTTGCTCGAGTGGTTTTGATGTTGCAACAGTTATGAATCGCTGTCAATCTTGCCACTCCAAGCACTATGAGGTCTTTGAAAAATCCACTGATTGACATAGTCCATCATAGCTGAGATGGTTGGTTGACCTGTTCTGTCTTCTCTCTTTTCTTCGTTAGGGTTCTGAGTCCAGCATTTAGATTAGGAAGATCTCCAAAGAAACTTCTTGTATGTGCTAACAAGTACAGGGCCAGGCACCGTCCATCGCTCCAATCAGCTGGTGGTTGTAATTGCTGGGTTGGTTCTGTTTTCACTCCCGACTTCCACTGGAACCAATGGGTGTTGCAGTCCAGCCTGGTTCTGCCCCGCACATATTTGGCCCTCACCTAAACCAGTGGGAGCTGCAGCCTAGTTGGAGCGACCCACAATAACCCCAACCAGGACCGCCCCTACCCTGGTTTGCCAGTAAGTGTAGCAGTAATCCAGTCTGTCCCACACCCCATTCCACCCCAGCCACTGTTTAGTTTTATGTCCTCCCATGGAAGTGGTAACCCAAGAGGGATGAGCCCACTATTACCCTCCCAGGCCTCTCCCACTCCCAGATTCCAGTTACTGCTGCCCAAACAAACCTCGCCCACTTTAATTCTGTTTGCACCAGTAGGAATAATCCACCGAGCCCGGCTTTTCCCTGATCTAGTCCACATGAGGCGCACAGGTGTGGTAGCTCTGCCTAGTCTGGTCTGCCCCCATCCCAGCCCATGCTCTCCTGCGGAAGTAGCTATCCTGCAGAGGCATACTATTTCTGTAGCCACAAGAAATAGAGCCCTGGTGCTTTCCACTAAGTCCCCTTTGCTCTGTGACGATCATTACCTTTCTTAACCTCCCAAGGATCCATGCTGATTTCTCATGTTTTGGTTAACTATTGTCTATTTTTGAATTATATATAAGCACACACACAGTATGCAATTTAAAAACTTTACTATATATTTTCCATTTTAAAATTATGACTTTATGATACAATTCCATAGCCTCTGGAATGTCCCTGAACTCCTACCCAAATCCCCTCCTCTCACTCATTTCCACTATATTATTACAATAGTATATTTCTTGGTAAATACGCCTAAGTCCATCATTGTGGGCATGTACAATGGCAGAGACTCCAGCATCCTATTGTCAAAATACATTAAACAGTTTCATTGGGAGTCCATCTTTTATTTGGAAATAGAGATGCATACTGCATTATATCCTCACATCTGGATATGACAGTCTCCATTACACAGTTACTATACACCCCCTTAAATGAAAAGCTACAAAAGAAAATCAACAGGAAGAAAAAAAAATGTACAATGCCATGACGTTAAATAACATTCTACTGAATGACTAATTTATCGCTGAAGAAGTGAAAATCAAGAACCTTCTTGAAGAAAATGCTATTGTATGATCCAGGAGTCATTAAAGAATTTAATATGAGAAAAAAAAAACTCTTTTGAAGAAATGAAAGTAAAAGCAAAACATCAAAATTCATGAGATGTAGCGTCTGCAGATCTTTGTTGGTGAGATATGTCTCCTGTAGGCAACAAATGGATGGGTTGTGTTTTTCTAATTCAGTCTACTAATCTATGATGTTTGATTGATGGGATTAAATCATTTACATTCAGGGTTAATATAAATAGGTGGTGATTTGGTCCTGTTATTTTAGCAAGGGGTTATCCATTGTTTGATTTGAGTCTTCTGTTATTTTACTGGGATGTTCTTTGCATTTGCCTTTGGTTTTGGAGGGCGCTATTCCTTTTCTCTGTCAAGAGAACATCTTTTCTTTTTTTTAAGATTTATTTATTTTTATTACAAAGTCAGATATATAGAGAGGAGGAGAGACAGAGAGGAAGATCTTCCGTCGGATAATTCACTCCCCAGGTGGCCGCAATGGCCGGTGCTGCGCCGATCTGAAGCTGGGTACCAAGAACTTCTTTCCAGGTCTCCCACACGGGTACAGGGTCCCAAAGCTTTGGGCCGTCCTTGACTGCTTTCCCAGGCCACAAGCAGGGAGCTGGATGGGAAGTGGAGCTGCCGGGATTAGAACCAGCACCCATATGGGATCCCGACACATTCAAGGCAAGGACTTTAGCCACTAGACCATGGCGCCAGGCCCAAGAGAACATCTTTAAGTATCTGGGCAGGTTTAGAAGAGGTGTATTCTTTGAGCTTTTCTTTACTGTGGAAGAATGTTATTTCATTTTCAAAAACAAAGGAAAGCTTTGCTGGGTATGTTACCCTGAGCCAACAATTTTTTGTTTTTAGAATCTGGAATGTATCACTCCATTCTCTTCTGGCCTGTAGAGTTTTCTTTGAGAGGTTAGCTGTGAATTTAATTGCCATTCCTGTATAGGTCAATTGATTTTTTTTCACATGCACATTTAAGGATCTTTTCCTTATGTTTGATTGAAGAGAGCCTGATTATCTTGTTGTGGTGAATATCGCTTTTTGATCATCCCTGTTGGGAGCTCTGTGTTCCTCCTGGATATTGTTTCCCAATTTTCTCCAAATTATGGAAAATTTCCTTTACTATTTCAATAAATAGATTTTTAAACCCACCTTATCTTTCTACACCTTCAGGAACTCCCATAACTCTTATATTTGGGCTTTTAATGGTGTCTCTTAATTCTTGAATGCTTTTTTTTTTTTAGCTTGACCCAACTCTACTTGCAGATTTTTGATTGTCTCTCCATTGTGACAAGAAATATCTTCCAATTCTGAGATCCTTTCTTTTGCCTCCTTCATTCTATTATGGATACTTTCTACTGATTTTTTGATTTGCTTTATTGAATCCTTCATATCTAATATTTCGGCTTGATTTTGTTTCAGTGTTGCTATTTCCTGTGTGACATACTCCTGGAACTCTGGTATGTGCTTCTCATTGTTGATCAGAAGCTTTATTAGAAGTGTTTCAAATTCTGTATCCCCCAATCCCTTTTTTTTTTTAATGTATTCCTCAGTTAACTCTGAGGTTGGCAAAGACTTTTGCTCCTTTGCAGGGGAGTCTTCAGTAATATTCGTTGTGCCTCTGTCTCTTCTGCTATAGGCCATTGTACTTCTGCTTAGCAGATTCTTCTCCATGGGGCAAGTTTCTAAGCTCTGTTACCCATAGATCTGCACTTCAATTTTACTTGTTGCAGTTGTTACCCACTTCTTTGTTTGCAATCACTTGTGTCACTCCCTCCAGCGAGTTTCAGGTTTGGGTTCTTTTTTTTTTTTTAAGATTTATTTTATTTTTATTGGAAAGGCAGATATACAGAGAGGAGAGACAGAGAGGAAGATCTTCCGTCCAATGATTCACTCCCCAGGTGGCCGCAATGGCTGGAGCTGAGCCAATCCGAAGCCACAAGCCTCTTCTGGGTCTCCCAAGCGTGTGCAGGGTCCCAAGGCTTTGGGCCGTCCTCGACTGCTTTCCTGGCCATAGGTAGGGAGCTGAATGGGAAGTGGGGCTGCCAGGATTAGAACTGGTGCCCATATGGGATCCTGGGTGTGCAAGGTGAGGACCTTAACCACTTGCGCCATCACGCCTGGGTCCCAGGTTTGGGTTCTTATGTTAGATTTCCACCATACTGTTTGTAGCCCCAGCTCCTTGCTCACCAGTCTCCATCTCCTATGAGCCCATGCTGAGGCTGTACCATTGGCTGTACAACCTTTCTCCCACTTCTAGTTTGAGCGGGTCCCAGGATTCAGGAGGTCACCAGGTGTCCTAAATAACTAGGTTGTTGGTAGTGCTGATCTTGCTGGAACCTGTTGGCCATTAGGTCTGAGGGCCGCACAGACCTATTTTGAATTGTAAGTTGCCA